ACAATGTATAACATGATATAAAGAGATGCCATTGTTATATGCAATATATTTATTTATACAATATATATATTAGGTGTTGGAATTAATTCGTAGCGTTTTTTAATGAAAGAATGTTATTTATTTCACATGAGCATTAAAAAATACATTAATGAAAGTACTTCCCATCACTTGTAAAACGCTACGAATTAATTCCAACACCTAATATATATATAAAACAATATATATATTGTATATACATATATATATATTAGGTGTTGGAATTAATTCGTATCTACATATATATTGTTGAAAGTTTACAATGCAATACCCACTTTTTTTTCGTATTGTATAATATGTATATAACATGATCCATTTAAATCAAATATTTTAATTAATTACAATTCAGAAAATTAATAATGCTTGCTTAGTTTTGCTAATACTTGTTTAAGCTTAATTATTTTTATTTTTATTTTTAAATTCTTTTACAATGTATATTAGATATAGTAGAGATATTAGGTATAGATTTTTCTAATAGATGGCTTTAGTAATCTGTATCACCCGTAGACGAGATACAGATTTCTAAAGCCATCTATTAGAAAAATAATGGATTTTTTTTTACTAAAAAACGGTCGGGGCCGGAGGGGGGCGTCGAGTAATTGTGCCCGGTGTTTCCGCGACAGCGTCCCTTCCGAAGCGGGACACCGGGCGGCACACATCACGCTGCTCGCCACGGCGGCTAGGGTCCGGAAGGGGCGCCGCTTCCGTGACCTGAACCGTCCGTGGGGCCGCCCTGGGTGGCGCCACCCGCAGCGGTACCCTCGAGGTCGGAGGCGAGGGACCCCCGAAACTCGTGAGTGGACTTGCACCACATCCACTCACGGGGAGTAAGGGGCTGGAGGCCAGCGTCCTCGATGAGACATTCTGGGGACCCGTGCCATATGCCAGCTCCCCGGGGGAACTCGGGGCCCCCCTCTCCTGGTTTCGAGGGAGGGGTGAGGGTACACCCTAGTTGGCGGAGCCGCTGCGAGCCGTGGGCATAAATAGAAATGTCAAGCTTAATATCAATACAAAACGCGGACGAGACACGCTCTGCAAAGAGAGTCGAGCAGGAGGCTCGCCCAACTAAGCGCGCAATCCTCGAAAATCGCGGCCCTGCCTGCAACAAGGTCGGGGCGCGCGCCGAGGCTGCCGCCTCTGAGGGTACCCTGTCGAGGGCTGGATCCACGGCCTCGCTGGGGTCCCTCGGAGGAGAGAACCGGAAACGGACGGTCGAATTTGTGGTCTCCTCCACGGATTCCATCGACCTCGCCATCGAGTTCGATCGGCAGCCTTTGCGCTCGATTGCCGCGGTAGCAACTCGCGAATTAGCAATCATCGCAAAGGCTGTTGAGAAGAATAAAAATATCAAAGCAGATATCATCAAGGATCTGTGCGCAGCTTACTCAAAGCTGTCCGCAGTCCTGAGCTCGGTGATGGCGAGGTCGGGCGATGGTGACCTGGCGGCCGAAGGCGGCCGGCTTGATGAGAGCTCCAGGGCGGAGAAGAAACGGCGGCTGAACCAAGAGCTGGTGCTCCTCCGCTCTAAGGTCGCGGTCCTGGAGCACGACAGAGACAGGAGGAGGTCTACTTCCCGCTGTACGTCGGGGAGGGACAGGGCACCGGGGGACTCGAATGGGACTCGGCAATGGAGTGGTCGGGTCTCGACAGCTCGACCGGCGGCAGCAGTCCCGTTCGAACACGGGGAGGACGAACCGCTCCCGCGGAGGGGGAGGAGCCGCGGTCTCGTGTGACTGACACGAAGGAGGACCTGAAGACTTCATACTCCTCTGCAGGGGATTTCAAAACAAATGAACCCTCTGGCGACCGCCGCGGACAGGGTCGCGTCTGCCGGTAAGAAATCCCCTCCAAAAAGGAAGGGGAAGACCGACGGACGGGACGGTGAGGATGGCCGTATCGAACAAGTCTTCGAGAGGCTCCTCCCCTGCCTCCTGAGGGGGTAGTCCCGGCGACGGCGCCGCCCCAAAAGGGACCACCCGCTAAGCAGGGCGGCCAGTCCCCCGCTAAGCAGGGCGGCCAGCCCCCCGCCAAGAAGGGAACTAAGATCGCTCCCAAGGCTGGAGGGAAGGCACCTGACGTGACTCCTCCCGCCACGAGGAGGGACCCGTTGCCCCCCGCCATCCCCATCAACAACTGGGGACGAGGGTCGTGCTGTGGACGCCAACGAGGCAACCTGGGCGCAGGTTGTCTCGAGGGCGGCCAAAAGAGCGGCCGTCAAGGCTAAGAAGGCGGAGATGGAGCCGCCCCGGCCGCCGCCCAAGAGCGCCAAAGCGCCCGCGGCCCCCGCTCCCACTAAAAAAGGGGAGCGGTGGAAAAAAAGGTGGGGTGGCGAGGAAGGGGAGTACTTCCGCAGGCCCTCAAGCCTCCGACATGAAGGCTCCCCTTTCTAAACTGAGGTCGCCCAATAGCGCTGGAATAACGCTTACTTGTACCGACCCTGGCACCTACCAGGAAGTGATGTCCAAGACGCGATCCTCGATCTCCCTCAAAGACGTTAGGATCGAGGAGGGCCATCATGAGGGCCCTCATTTGGGAAGTCCGGGGCTCGGAGAGCCGATCGAAGGCCGATTCGTTGACCGAGAGGCTATCGGCCGTCTTTGCGGACAGGAACGATGTGAAGGTGTCCCGTCCGTCGAAGACGGCCAAGATCCGGGTCTCCGGACTGGACGACTCGACCCCCACAGAGATGGCCGAGGAGCTGGCGGGTGCCTCCCACCATAATTTAAGATGGGGGGGATTAGCAGGGCCCCAATGGGCTCGCCATCTGTTGGGTGAGATGCCCTGTAGAGGCGGCCAAACAGCTCGTGGCCGTAAAAGTGGGGTGGTCGAGCTGCAGAGTAGCTCTGCTGCCGGCCCGGAGCCTCCAATGCTTCCGGTGCTTGGAAGCTGGCCATGTCCAGGCGAAATGTACAAGCACCGTGGATCGCTCCGGGTCGTGTTATCGGTGCGGGAGCATCGGACACGCGGCGCGCGAATGCCGCGCCAAGATCGATTGCCCCGCGTGCCGTGGGCTCGGCCGCCCCTCGGGGCACCGAATCGACGGCGCCGGGACGCGCGCCGCTC